TAAGACTGTGCTGGGGATGGACTCGATGTGCGTAATGTCTCATTCAAGATAACCATATCCTTTTGGTGGTGCAGTTCATATAGAAATGCCGGTATAATCGGCACTGATTTGGTTCATAAAAAACAAAATATTCAATTTATAGTACAGTATATGAAAATTGTGGATCAATACACAAATATTGAGGAATTTGATAACTGTATGCAATGTTTGATTTTTCGCACTTGAATTTGTTTGGTTCCAACCCATTAGTAAAACAATCTTAATTATTGCCAGAATGACAGTGAATGCTATCTAATTATGTTACTGTTATTTCGTTACCAAAATTAATTTCATTGCTTAAATTGATTCTATTGTTTTGTCAACACATTCATAAATATTATTAGATAAAGGTATTTATTCATACAGGTATTATTAATTATTAAAATACCGTATTAAATTCTATTCAAATAGATACAATGTATATTAATTTATGCTTACAGCACTATTTTTTATTAAAATTGTTTTAACCAATATTGTAAATAATTATTAATTACTACTTTAGTTGATTAATAATACTTTACAAATGAGCTTTCTGAATAATTATTTGTACATGTGTCTCAATAGTCTTATGAGTAATTGCTGACAATTTATGTGTTATTTTTGGATTTCTTTTGACATCAAAATAAAAATAATATTTATTCGCAATAATTTGCAAAAATCATAAAATTATATACAATTTCATTCACCTCTTCTTCAATTCATCCCTAACTTTATTTAACATTTTATTTAAAAATAGGTCAAAATTATGNTATACAATTTCATTCACCTCTTCTTCAATTCATCCCTAACTTTATTTAACATTTTATTTAAAAATAGGTCAAAATTATGATTATATATTTGCGATTAAAATTGTATCTAAATTGTAGTTATTTAATACAGTATTAGACAATATATTTATTGGCATTAATAACAGATATATTGCAAATATTTTTCTATAATCATAAATTAATGTATAAGTAACTAGTTTATTTTATAAAATAATTGGTCAAGGTGATTTATCAATATCAATAGTAACTTAAATAAATAGTTTATTTTTAAAAACTCGTCGATTAATTTACAATAATTTGTTAGTATTTTATAATCAGTTTGACATAAATTTTTTCATTAAATACTTTTCACAATTAGTTACAAAATTTCTTTCAAAATATACAAATCTTAACTTAATATTAATTGTTTGAATGAAATTTTTATGTTAATTTCATGTCAAAAGTTTTTGGCATTTATAGTATTCAATAGATTTGTTAAAAAGTTATTTTTATGTTTTATTATATGAAATGAATTGTAAAATGAATACACTTAGACCTCCATAAGTCTAACCCTCTATAACTGACTAGATTCGACATTAGACTCACATAGACATCCCATTATAAAAAAACCTCTAAAACTAGTGTTCCTAGGTCAAAAAATCAAAATAAACATCAATTTTACTTGGGCTTTCTTGAGATTGTCCATTAATTCAAATAAGACACGTTGCTGCTTCTTTTTATTATATTTACTTATATTTTTAATAATATATGGTTTAGAAATGTGAAATTAATATAAAATAATAATAAGGTGTCATTATTTAGTTAGTCAACCTTTATAACTCAAACTTTTTACATATTTCTATGTGTATTAATATTCTATAAGTCAAACCCTGTACAAACTTTTAAAGTATACTTATTATAAGTGAAACAAACATTTTGTTCCCACGAGTTCAACTTATGGGTTATAGTGTATAGAATAGGAAAGAATGATAAATCTTCTATATCTTACCGACACTCGTGAGTAACATGTTGTCCAGAAGTAGACCAATCGCTACAATCAACAGAACCAGACGTCGAGAGCCTTTGCATTGAATCATTAAATCGTAAACCTTTTTCTCAACGCCAGCGGCTATACTATCCGTGTTTGTCATCTTGTCTTAACTTACAAAGAGTTAACTCACGTCACGAACTCTCACACAACCAATGCATTCAACAATTGTCTTCAAAGAATATTCTATATCTTCGCGGAATNGTTTGTCATCTTGTCTTAACTTACAAAGAGTTAACTCACGTCACGAACTCTCACACAACCAATGCATTCAACAATTGTCTTCAAAGAATATTCTATATCTTCGCGGAATGCAATGCAATCCAATGCACACAACTCTACAGTCATAGGAATGCAATCGAAAGGCGACGTCTGTTGGCGTGAAGTGAAGCAAAAAGTTTTGTCACAAGTTGTGAGAGCAGACATGCCTCACATGGGAAGCAATGTTCACACTTTTATTGACCGCCTGTGACTGCAACTGCCATACGTGACCCCCATTGCCATCTATGAGCTCAATGTGAGACAAGTGGTGCTCAAGTGGTGTAAGGGTTGGACGTAATGTCTGTGGCGTTGAGAGCACACAACCAATGCATTTGTGAGTGCATTAAATGCGAAGTCATTTTGAATTCAGCGACCAATGGGTTCAGTATTTACAGTGCATTTGCAATGCATTGCTATTACAGTACACTCTATGCAGTCTATAGTACTCTATGTATGAGTAGTGAGTGTTAAGAGAAAAACGTTTTGTTAATACAAAAGACTTAACATTACATATAAATTGTGTTTACAATCAAAACAATTTATTAATCGCTATTCAATTAACACTCATTTTGTCACTCATTCGCTGTTTTACTATTGAAACTCACAATTAATTTTGATTTGTAAACAATTGGAGACAATTTGACGATTACTACGAAAAACAGACACAAAAATGGGTGAATGTATGCGAAATTGTATTGCATTTTCAATTGCATTGTTTTGACTCACAATTTGAGACA